CAATCCTTATCTTTCTTCTTATTATATACATTTTATTTCTATTTTCATAATTTATCTGTAATGAACCACAACACGGAAACCTGAAATAAAAAAGTATCTGGCAATTATTTTGTTTTCTTCCAGGAATTCCTAAACAAACTGATAAAAAATAGTTACAATGTACAATTTATTTTTACTTTTATTAAATGCGTAGAAATACTGACAGCTTATTCGATATGAGGTGGCAGTGATGGTGATGTTGATGATGATGATGATGATGGTGATACTGTTGTTGATGATGATGATGATAATGATGATGTTGGTGATAATGATATTAATGATGTTGATGATGATGATGATGATGATGATGATGATGATATTGTTGTGGATTATGATGATGATGATGGTGATGTTGATGTTAATGAAAATGATGGTTGCAAGAGTAATGACAACAAAAATGATGATGCAAATGATAGTGATAATGATAATAATGGTTATAACATTGCTGATAACAGTGATGATACGGCAGCACTGATGACAGTAACAATGGTAATGATATGATGATAATAGTGATAAGAATTATACTAATAGCAATGATTTAAATGATGATGATAGTAATAATAACAATGATGATAATGATAAAGATAATAATATCAATAATAATAATGATAACGACAATAATAGCAATAGCATGATAATAAAGATGACAATTATGATGATAACAACAGCAACAATACTTATGATAATAATGATAATAACAATAACAACAATAATGATAATACTGATAATGATGATAACAAAGCGGGATAATAATAACAATGAGAATAATAATGATAATATTAATGGTAATAGTAACAATAATAATAATGATGATAGTAATAATGATGACAATAACAATAATGATTAGATAATGATAGTGATGATAATAGTAAGGAATAATGAAAATAGTGATGATAATGATAGCAGTAATAATAATGACAATAATAGTGAATGACGATAACAATGACAATAATAACAATATTAGTGATGATAACAATGATAGTATGATAATAACGACAACAATGATAATGGTAATAATAATGATAACAATGATGATAATGGTAATAATAATGATAACAATGATAATGATAATATTATTATTATCAATAATTTAAAGTAATGATAATGAAGATAATAATAATAACAAAATGTTAATGCAAGCGGTAATGATAATGGTAATAGCAATGGTAATGATTATTGTTATTACCCTTATCATCATTGTCTTTATCATTATTGCTATCATTATTAATGTTATCATTTTTATTATTGCTATTATCATTACTATTTTTGTTATTGTTATTTTTGTAGTTTTTACTGTTATCATGATCTCTGTTGTTATTGCCATCTTCCTTGTTACAAACATCATCATTTTTAACAATTATCATTATCAGCATGATTGTTACCTATCATTGTATTTCCCAGCATATCTACTGTTATTATCCCTATAACCACCAATTATCGTCCTCCTAAATAATCTCACCTAAAAGATTCTAAAATCTATTTACAGTTATGTCCTAAACTGTTTCATTTGCCGTATTAAAAAAAAAAAAAAAAAAAAAAAAAAAATATTATGATTATGTTCCCCTGAAGGTGAAATATCACTGAAATAAATTATGATGAACAGGAGAAAGGGAGAGGGGGGAGGACCGGATTAATAGATAGGTATGTTAACGGATGGATGGATAGATATATAGATAAGATCAGGCAGATAGATAGATAGATACATAGATATAGGTATATAATATATATATATATATATATATATTATAGATAGATAGATGGGTGAAAAAGCAGCGGTAAGGCAGGGAAAGATAAAGGGGGGAGGGGATAGGTATCAAAAAGAGATAGAAAAAGAGAGAAAGAAATATAAACACAAGCAAGCAAACAGAAAAAAATATGATATTGCAATCATACCGCCATTCACCACATTTGCGTGCAGTGCTTTGGAAACGTTCCATTTTCTCTTTTCTTTTTTCTTTTTTTTCAGGAATAACCTTCCACTTTGCGCCATTATCCGACCGACCTGCAGGCCTATAAACGACCTTAATTACTACCTAGGGCTTTGTTAATTATACCTTGATTGGTAACCTTGCGTCAATCAAAATAATTTCGCGACATTGTGGCATCGCGAAACATCATAAGCAGGGGCATAGCTTTTGAGTTTCTTTTCTCTCTCTCTCTTTCTCTTCTCTCTTCATTCTCTCTCTCTCTCTCTATCCATCTATCTATCTATCTCTCCCTCCCTCTCTCTCTTTTTCTCTTTTCATTCTCTCTCTCTCTTCTTTCTTTTTTCTCTCTCATTCTCTCTCTCTCCCTTTCTTTTTTCTTTCATTCTCTGTCTCTCTCCCTTTCTTTTTTCTCTTTTCTCTTTCATTCTCTCTCTCTCCTTTCTTTTTTTCTCTCTCTCTCTCCCTTCTTTTCTCTCTCTCTCTCTCTCTCTCTCTCTCTCTCTCTCTCTCTCTCTCTCTCTCTTCTCTCTCTC